ATTCGATAATATACTTTTTCTTCCTCTTAACAAATGGTTTTGCAGTTCAAATCGCCAAATAAGATAGATTTTTTCTTTCATAATTTTTTGTAGAAGTATTTCTGATGAGCATCTTCAATGCAGCATGGTTTTTTTGCTCAGCATATTTTGTATGACCAGCATCTTTTTTTGATGACAACCAACACGTGTGAGCTAAAAAACTTATAACTAAAACAAGATATTAACAACTAGCTGTACAATCACTTGTGGCGTGGTAAAAATTTTGAGCCTTGAGGGAAAAATTACAAATTTAACTAGTTTTCCATTGTAAAGCTTTTTTGATTTGCATTTGATTTGAAAATATGGATTCCCACCAGGGGCGGCTTTAGAAGAGGGGACAGGGGGTGGTGGCCAACAACCCTCCCCCTCCTCAGGTATTTGACATCCTAACGACAAAAAGGGTCCCATTTATGTTCGCGAAATGTTGAGTTTCTGTACTTTTGAAAACTTCTTGACCTAGAGGCAGTAAGCACCAAAATAAAACCGAATTAAAGAAAAATCATAATTATAATTTGTTTTTACAGCGCGCCGAATAAAAATAAGAAAACTTTTAATGAGCCTTGAAACCTTGATGCCACATAAACAAACCGTTCTAATTGGTGATTCGAATATAAACATAAGCAACGACAACCAGCATAGTTTGGATAATAAGAGGCTTGTCTCTCCATACAACTACAAAACTCACACTCAATCACTGATAACAAGGCAAACAGCCAATACTGCAAAACCAAATTAAACCAAAATTTTAGGCAATTTTCCCGTTTCCGATTCAATTGAAGGCTGGGACATCTCAGATCAATTTCCAGTAACAGTTGATATTAATTATACGGTCGCGAATAAAAAAATTTCGTCATAAAATTGACCATTGACTCATTTGGGTAATCCAATCAACTTATATAGCCTTCTTCTCGATTTGCAAAATAGTTTGAAAGGATTAAATGAAAGTAGAGTGTTAACAGGTACTTAGAAAAACTCATCAAAGAAATTCGGAAAAACCTGGATAAGCATGCACAGAAAAAAAATGTCTTACAATGATCAAAGCGGAAAAACCCATAGATCACCAATAGCATTAAAAGCAAAACTACTAAGCGTGTAACTATTCATAAGCAGCTAAGAAAAACACATCAAATCACTGTTTGATGGATAGATACCTTAAGCAAAATATAAAGTAAAATCAACTTTTCTCAACGCCAGGCACTTTTTTATGAAAATAATTTAGCGCGTTTTAAAAATGGGAAGATCTGTTCCATCTCTCTCTTTAAAAACGTTTTGTTCAATAGCAATACTGATAGACAAAAAATGAAATAATCTGTTTCGAAAGCAATTAAGTTGAATGAGTTTTTTTTCCTCATTGTTATTGAAATTGGAACGCTATGGAGTGCGCGGATTACCTCTTGATTTATTAAAAAGCTAATCAACGGGCAGTAGCCAGTATTTGAAGCTGGGTGAATTTACTTCAAAATGGATATCAAGGACTCGTGGTATTCCTCAAGGAGCATTTCTTTTTTTGTTTCTCGTTTGTATCAATAATTTACCCGCTCACAAAATATAAATATTTTTTTTAATGATGATACTGCCTGCCATTGTAGAAAAAAACGGTACATTTTTTTCTGGTTTCTGGGAGTTTCTCAAGCCAGCGACTGGGTAAATTCAAATCATCTCAGCTTAAATTACGATAAAACAAAAATTATTGGATATTCTAAATGAAACATGCAGCAGCAGATTTATTGTGTTAGACAAGGAAACATAAAAACAGGTTTTGGTTATAAAGTATTTAGGAAAACTGATTGATGAAAAACTGAGTTTTGATCCTCACATTAAAAACGTTCTATAGGTGTTAAAGAGAGTCTAGGCACATGCCACAATTAGTAGAAGCAGTAACCATAAAAGAACAAGTTTTTGTTTATCTGTTTTTCAGCATTGGTTCTTCTCTTTGCTTGTAAATAATTCAGCAATCAAATTTAAGCACTATAAAACAATCTTTTTGTAAAATTAAAGGAATTTCTCAATTTTCATTTATTCATTTTTTAAACCACGTCAGAACCATAATGTAGCAAACGTTTCTACTTCATGTTCAAACTTGAACATTAAGTTTAAATATGTATTCTTACATCCTCGTGAACTGTCATTCTGCAAAAAACTTTATCTTGATCAACGTGAGTCACATCACATCATCTCTTTCTTAACGAATCTTAATCTGGACAATGTTGATTTACCCAGCAACACTATCGGCAACTGAGAAAACTGGATATTGGAGAATTGGAATTAATTTTTAGCAGCATCAAAAACTTTTAGAGTGGAGATGAGATCAGTTGCTCACAGTCGCCAAAATTTTTCGAATTGATATGTAAAAATGGTTCAAAGCGAGTCCTTGAAATAAAAAAAGTATAGAACATACTTTATTTTGATTTTATATTTGTCCACTGGTGTGACTTGACCCTATTTTTTTTAGAAATATCTTATCAAAACTATATGGCAACTACTTGAATTGCCATATTTTGTACCAAGGCCACATGTTATGTTTTAATCAAAACGAGCTCAACCAGCAGATTACCAAAAACTGTTAGTGTATTAGAGAATGCCAAAAAACCAAAAAAAATTGTAAAATCATGAAATGAGATTTTTTCTGAAAGAAGCACCTCGTAGCTAAATGACTTTCAAAAATAGTCTTTTTCAAATATGTTTTCCAATGACAAGTTTACACAATATGAAAAAATTATCCAAAAAAAAACGAATTTTTCCCACCATTGGAAAAAATATAGCCAACAGTCAATTGGAAAAATTTCAATGAACACAAACGATTTTCAAAGAAGATTTTCTATGAACGCAAGACACTTTAAAATTCAAAAATCATATTTTCAATCACTTTGATTTTTTTTTTCAATAAAAACTGGATCAAAGGTTTTTCTACTTCGCTGGGAAAGCGGCTTGAGGGCGAGAAAAGTATTTCAAGTTTTTTGTACCCTGTTTGCGCTTTCATAATTAGTGAGCGTTTCTTATCTTTGTTCTTTTTTCCAATTATTTCAAGGCATTTTTCGTCAAAAAGCCAAAAAAATTAACACGAGCTGTAGAAGTGACTTCCTTCAATCAAAGCCATCTGAAAAATAACTTTTTGAAAAGACAATTAGAACTGTTTTTGTCCCATTTTTTTTTGATATTCGATAACGTACTTTGTCTTCCACTTAACAAAAGATTTTGCAGTTCAAACGCCAAATCAGATTGATTTTTTCTCATAAGTTTTTTTAGAAGGATACGTACAAGCACTTAATTTGAATAACCAAAAACAGTCTTCATTCACTCAGCCAAAGTTTTTTTTATGTCGAAACTTGTTTTTCTGATGAGCATCAACAATGCAGCATGTTTTTTGCTCAGGAGAATTTGTATGAACATCATCTTTTTTATGTATGACAACCAAAACGTGCGAGCTAACAAACGTATAAGAAAAACAACTTATTATTTCTCAACATATTAATAACTAGCTGTGAAATCAATTCTGGCGTGGTGCCTTAATTTGTTGAGAAATAAAAATTTTGAGCCTTGAGAGAAAAATTACAAAATTAACTTGTGTTCAATTATGAATTTTTTTTATTTGCATGTGAGAATTAATTATGGATTTTCACTAGGGTTGACTTTAGGGGGGGGGGGCGGGGTGTGTTGGAGGACAACCCTCCCCTTCCTCATCTATTTGACCCCCTGTCGATCAAAAGGGTCCCCCTTTGTACTATTTTGGGATACCCATTTTTGGCTGACGGACCTAGAAAATTTAGGATTAAAAGTTAGGACGAACCCAGGATTAAACGGACCTGGATTAGTTTTTTTTGAATTAAAAACGTAGATTTATGTTCGCAATTTGTTGAGTTTCTGTACTTTTCAAAGTTTTACTGACCTAGAGGCAGTAAGCATCAAAATAGAATTGAATTAAAAAGAAATCATAATTTTAATTTGTTTCTACAGCGCGCCGATAAAAAATAAGGAAAATTTTTGAAAAGCATTAAACCCTTGATGCCAAACGTCAAACCATTCTAGTTGGTGATTCAATTATAAACATCAGCAACAAGAACCAGCATAGTTTGAAAGATAAGAATCTTGTCTCTCCGTGCAACTACAAAATGCACACTGAATCAAAGATAACAATGCAAACAGCCAAATTTGCATCATCAATAAATCAAATTATAAGCAATTTTCCTGTTTCTGTTTTAATTGAAGATTAGGACATCTCAGTTAATTTTCCACTAGCCGTTGCTAAAAATTATGCGGTTGGTAATGAAAGCAATTATTAAATAATTTGACCCTCGAGTCTTTTGAAAAAAGTGGATACCTTATAAAGTTTTCTTCTCGTTTTGCAAAATAATTGGAAAAGTTTAAATGAAAGTAGAGTAACAAAAAGTACTTAGAAAAACTCATCAATGGAATTTGTTGAAATCTGGACAAACGTGCACCAGAAAAAGATGTCTTGTATTCACCAAAGCAGAAAAACCATGGATCACCAAAAGCATTAGGAGCGAAATTACAAAGCGTGTAACTATTCATAAGCAGCTAAAAAAATTCCATCAAGTTAGTGTTTGATTAATATTTACCTTAAGCAAATGAAAAAGTAAAATCACTTGTTTGTAAAGCCAAGCTTAGTTTTATGGTAAAAAGTTAGCATGACTCAAAAATGGGTAAGAGCTGTTCAATTTCTTCAAAATCTTTTGGTTCAAAAGTAAAACTGATAGACCAAAAGTGGATGAAACGGTTTTGAACGCTTATAATTTAAATGAATTTACTCCTATTATTGAAGAAAACCTAGCCGCTCGTTTTGGTTTTGATGATCAACCTAGTCCAAACCTTCCTGCTTTTATTTAAAATTCTTTTTGGTTAACATCCATGAATCTTTCTGAAGTTTTTGAAGCTATCTCGAAATTGTCTTCAGCAGGTCCAACCAGGGAGCCTTCTGGTTTTGTTAGAGAATCAAAACTTACCTAGAAGTTTCAGCTCGCAACATTGTGAGTTGTTGTGATTATTGTTACCATAAACAGCAGACTGAACTTTGCAAGTTTCTGTGCAATAGCTTTTTACTGTTTTTATATGAATATTGAAAATTTGGAAATAAGTTCCAGTTGGTGTAAAATTTTCAGCAATCCGTTTAAGAACCTCCAACAAATACAGATTTTTTTTTCGAGCCGCCGAAAACCCAGAAGCTAAGTTACCATTCGGATTTCGAGCAATAAATGAGTGTCCAAGTTCATCAATATTTCGAGCCAAGAAACCGTCAGAATCGCTGTAAAGGCCTCCATACTTATAAAGTAAAACAGCTCTACCAATATCGCTCAAATAATTTGTTTTGTATTTTGAATGGAAAAGTTTGCCGATAACTCGATAGACCGGAGTTCCTCTGAATAAGTCATAAGCTGGCATGGTTATCAGGTCAAAGTTGTTGTATAATGCACCAAGCGATTGTTTCAACTGGGTCTTCATTTTACCAATTTTGACTCGACTGTCAAGAAAAACATACCTGGAAAATTACAATTAGTTACATTGCATATCACAAACCAAATAGCCAATCGAAAACCAAAAAACAAATATGCATATCATTTTCGAAAAATTCATAACATCTTATTCCATCAAGATCTGTTTTCCAAAAAATGATAATTTCATTTTAAACCATTTGAAAATTTATTTTTCTGAAATAATCAAATTTCAAGGATGCAAATTATTCAACTTTTTTCCAATGAGCGCTTTTCTATCGGAGAGCGGAGCGTAATTTGGCGATTTGATTGGAAAAATTAAATCACTAAAAAAACTTGGAAAAACTTTACTCCAATTCAACGGAAAACCGATGTTACAAAAAATAACCTTAGGTGCCTTTACAAAATGAATCAAATATTTTCAGAGAAAACGCTCAGATACGAGCATACGCCGAAAATATGAAATGGACCGTGTGACGTTCTTTTAAGCAAATTGATAAAAATTGCCAATTAAGCAAATTGATACTACTAATCCAGCATAGAACTTTCAAATTGGTAGGTAATTTGGTTGAGGAGGCGGGATCTTGTTAACAATCCCCCCCCCCATTTTTGCAATAAATTCGTGTATGCTTAACTGTTCAATTTTTTCTTTATAGGGGAAGAGATATTCGTTACAAGGTACCATAGGGGGGGGGGTCGGTAGTTAACAAGATCCGAGAGGCGAAACGGAAAACAGACGAGATGTATTTTTCTAAAAACTATCACCGTAAAACTGTAACTTATAAACTTTACCTGATACAGTTTTGTGGCATTTTGGAAGCGTATGATTCCAGTGTACAGATGATTTCTGGTTTTAGATAAGTCTGGAATGTAGATTCTATGAGCCAAACGTTCTTATCATCTTCCCATCTTGACGTGCAAATTAGTTTTTCGTTCTGTAAGCAGGGTTGTCAACAATTTGAGTTTGAGCATTTTAAGTGAATTTTTAAAAGACAAGATTTCCTTGCAAATGTCGGGAAAATCAATTGAAAGTTTTTACCCTCTAAAATGCCTGCGTACCTGACATTCCTTGACTTTTTTTACTATTGCATCGGCCGAGCTACTAGGCTCCCTTAGTCGATCCAGGAAGGTTATCTTGCAAGATCTCGCAAGATTCATGCAAATGAGGGTTATCTTGCAAGAACTTGCAAGATTGATGTTATTTTAAGAGATCTAGCAAGAGTGAGGTTACCTTGCAAGATCTTGCAAGAGAGAGGGGATCTTGCAAGAGTTTTGCGAGATTCTTGCAAGATCTTGCAAGACAACCAAATATGAAAATTTCACAAAACCTTATTCTGAGCGCCAGATAAAACTATGGAGATCCAATTTGACTACGGTCACAAAGAATTCTGAGTCTAAGCTCGGAAAAAAAATTAAGTTAAAAAATTTTTAAAAAGTTCATATGTATTTTTTTTTCTTTTTTGTTATGTTAATATTTTCAGATTGCCGTTATAACTTAAACTTATTTTTTTGACTTTATTGGATTTTTTCATCTATTTTTGCAACTCTAGCGGTTAAATTTCAATTTTTTGTTTTTTTTTGTCAAAATATTGATGAATAGAGTCAATTAGCTTGAGATGTTTTGTATGAATCCGATAAATAATGATGTTCATCTTATTATGAGATTATATGTTTTTTTCCCACAAAAATCATGTCTTTAAAAATTTTGCTAGAATTAAGGTTATCTTTAAAGGAGGTTGTCTTGCAAAATCTTGCAAGATATTTTAAATAGATAACTTCCCTTGATTAATAAGGGTCCTTAGCAAAAGCATCTAAGTTTCGATTTATGATTTATTTATCCGCTGATCAAGTGTCAAAAATCCGTTCATTCTTGATACAAAAAATCGTATCCAAGAAAGTCGTCCTCCAATATATAATAAAAAAGTCATGCTAATTCGAGATACGATAGAAAAAATTTTAAACAGTTTTAAACAGTTAATTTTAAACAGGTATCCCTAACAAATTTTAAACTGTTATTAATTAGTTATTCAGTTATAATTTGCTGTCTTATATAGTATGACCATATATATTTTGGAACACTATTGGATCTACTTAACAATCGCCCTTCCTTTGGCATCTACTTAAGAATTGCCACCCCTAATAATAAAAACAGTAAATAGCACTAGAGCTTTCTATTTAAAATTCGAATTTTGCTGCGATCTGATTGGTCGAAAATGCGTTATTTTAATCTACTTAATAATTGCCCCCCTTTCTTAAAAAAGGGGGGTGGCAATTGTTAAGTAGATCCAAACTATTTTTCCAGAAGATTAAAAGTGACGTTTCGAGATACAGAAATCTAAAAGCCCCATAGCTTTTCAAAATAGTTGGAACAGTTTGATAAAAAATATATACACCTCGATATAATTTTTTGCAAATCTCAGGAAATCGAATTTTTCCAATCAACATTTGCGAAGTGAATTTTATCATTTTCACGGAAAGGCGTCTCCTGGGCTGATGTCGCAGAGCAATTGAGTACTGCTTTAGCAATTTTGCACCCATTTTATGCACCACGTAGAACTTTAAAATAGGCCAAATATAGTTAACTAGGAGCAATCTATGTTTCGTGGATTCAACCGTGTTTTATTTTTGAAGTACTGCATCATTGATCAGTTAGGTTTTGAGCATTTAAAATAACCTTAAAGGTTTCGCTTTGCACTTTTGTTCATACTCTGAGATGAATTATCCGCTTCAACTGAGTTCTGCGATGTTGCCAACAAACATATGAAACTATATGGCAATGGCGTAAAGGTAAGCTGGATTCGCTTGGAGCGAAATCTAGAGGAGTCGAGCCTGGATAAGAACGCATTTTTGTACATTTTAAAAAGTTGTTGATTCAGCGCTGTTACAATACTGATTTTCTTACCTTCGGCTCTTTTCTTTGAAAAGGCGGCATCAACCCAAGGTTTTGGCAATATTGGATTACTAGCGAATTATTGAATAGATAGCAAATTGCCCTGCGAGATCACACCCAGTTAATTTTCATATTCCTCGCTATAGCTAAAGACTATACTGATTTTTGAATCTTCTTAAATCTTCTTCGAAGTTTAATAATATTTTATTATGTCTAGGTGTCAAGTTATAGATTTTGTTCAAGTGCAGCATGAGTGTTTCAACCTTCTGTTCAGTAGCCATAATAGCATGTTGCGTAGAGTGTATGAAAGTATCCTTGTAGTAATAAATAAAAAAAGTGACCAAACCGAGTAAAAGTAGACGCAAATATCTATCGAGAAAAAAACGCATCTTTGGGTGAAAAAAAAGTAATTATTCAGTCGATAATAAAAAATTTTGCTATTGAAAAATCCAAATCGAAAATCAAAATAATTGAAATATCGAATAATTGAAAAATAAACTAGTTTGACAAATATTTCACTTCTATCTTAATATGCATTCAGTATTTGCTTAGTGATTCTTTTACCTTTGAGCTTTGGACACGTCTTCTCTAACTTTACCTTATATGCAAAATGCGGACTTTATTTGATATTTGATCGCCTCAACGCAAACAAAGCTAATTCTAGTTCATAACTTGCATTACAATTTTAACAACTCTATTTGCTTTGAATAAACATATTAGTTTCTTGTATCAACCCGGGTTGACCTCCATAAGACCAAAAATGCTAATCATATAATTCCATAAACTAAGTTTACTCATACAAATTTCATACTACTCATACAAATACTAGTCATACAAATTTCATACATTTTGTTAAAATGGTGTCGTCGAATTTTCGAAAAACTTTTCTCTTATTTTGGCATAAAATTCGGTGTATCGTACTAAATAAAAAAGAAAAACTTTTTGTCAAAAGAAATGCTAATCATACAATTTCCAAATATGGAAAACGTATGACTAGCGTTTTTTTGATGGCGCGAAAGTATTTTTTAATTTGCCCCCAAAAATTTTTGTGTTTTTTTTTCAACCGCAAATTGATTTTCCTACTCAAACAAACATTATTTGAAAAAAAAAATTGCATGCAAAATTTAGTTTTTTGTGTGTATAACGTAGTCCTGGATATACTAATATTGGTTTTTTTTTCTTTTTTCTCCATAACTTTTTTCAAAAACGCTTAAAACTCCTCTTTTTTGTATGATATGTTTTTGTATGCCTTGAGCAATGTCTGGTAATTTGAAAATTCAAATTTTAGAAATAATCATTGAAATATTTTTCCAAAATTCAAATTCGTAACTTTCGTTATATTATTTGTGTGAGACAGAATTACAACAGTTCAGGCTGTTTCCTATGCATTTTGAATGCGAGACGGCCAAACCTTTGTTTACTACGCTGAGTAACCAAGGTTTATGTCATTTGTGTTCGGTTACGAACACAAACAAAAAATTTTGAGAAATTAAAAAGTAGAAAAATCAATATTTTTGGTTTATGGAAAAATGCTATTCATACAATTTCCATTTATGAAAAATTAATGATCATAGACCTTTCATGCAACTTTATGTACTTATGGAATTGCATGAAAAGTGTATGACTGGCATTTTTCCATGAATGAAAATTTTATGACTAGCATTTTTGGTCAACCCGGGTAAGTGATTAAGTAGTAGATATTGAAGGTGAGCATGTATTGAGATAGGCTATATACATCCAGTCAGCAGGCTTTCTATTAAGATAGGGAATAGAGTTTGCCATGTCTTAAGACAGATACTATAGGTTTAGCCATGTATTAAGACAGGGGCGGACTTAGGGGAAGGACGGTGTGGGGGGAGGGGGGTGGACGCTTTTCCTCGGGGATTCGACTCCCTGCCGACCCAAAGGGTCCCCCTTTGTAATATTTTGAGATACCCATGTTTGGTGATGGACCCTTCGGCGCCAATATATACTAACTTTGAGGGGAGTGCGCGGGTCGAAAAACGCAATTTTTTGGTCGAAATTTTCCCAAAAAATGCCTAAAAACGCCTTTTTGGCCTGTTTTTTCAAAATTTTGGCTGCGGCGCAGAAAATTTCCGTCAAATTAGAGTTTTTCTAGTGTTTTGGGAGAGCTCACAAAATCAATTATGTCGGCCTAAAAAAAGGTCGCCAAAATATTCAAAAGTTTTTGAAAATCCCCCCCTCGAGAAAATCCAAGATCCGCCCCTGTATTAAGATGATTCAGCGATGATTAAGCTTCTCTAGAGCAATGCATAAGATCTTATGTATTAGAGTGGTGTTTGTTTTCTTCATAATTTTCGGAATGGTAAGTTTTAGAAAAATTTTTTCCTTCCTAATGAAATTTTGGAAAAGAATTCAAGTAGTTTGAGAAAAACTTTAAATTACAAAAAAGTCAAAAACTTCCAGTATTCTTTTATAGAAATTTGAGAAGTTGAAAGCTGCAAAAAATGTAATAGCGGCTAAAAATGTAACACGGATTTCGAGTCTGCTGAGAAATCCTCCCCCTATAGTATTTACTAAAGAATCTACATCCCTCTACAGAAAAACAGTGAATGAAACAAGCAATAGAGTTTTGCATTGAGAATACGAGATTTGATGTATTCTGATTGGTCGAAAAATCGACTCATTTAATCTACTTAACAAACACCTCCTTTCTTGAAACGGGAGATTTGCAAGTAGACCTTAAAGCACTTGTGCGAAATATTTGGCTCAAGTGAAATAAAATTGTTTCATAAGGAAATGAAGAAATTTTATTGATCCCAATAACAATTTGTACGACACAAATATTAAGACGAACTACTTAAGTTGAGTTTATTGAGGAACAAAAAACTGTTTAATGTTTATATTTCATAAAAGTTTTCTTTCTCAAAAATTTTTCAGATATTTTGCAGAGCAATAAAAAAATCAGGACTTGGCCCTGATGCATGAGTAGTTTTGATTTCACGAATGAGTTCTGGAGATAATCTCACCAATTTTGTCGGCTAAAAATTAAAAAGATTTTGACTATGGTTAAGTAACATACAAAGATCCGTTCTACAAAAACGAAAATGAAACGATGAAAAACTTGTGCCGACCGACAAAAACAAGCACTGCTTCTTACGAGTGGAGACGCAAAGCACTAGCTTAGACTTGACTGGTTTCGTAACCTGATACTTGGGGTTTAAGAAATTAGACGACAAGCAAATTAGATAACCAGTAAATAACGAAATTAAGACAAAAACTTGCGTGCAAATTGTGTGAAGTTTTCTTACAATTGAAGTTTTCTTTTATTTTGCCCCCAAAAATTTTTGTGTAGTTTTTTTTTCAACCGCAAATTGATTTTTGTACTCAAACAAACATTATTTGAAAAAACAAATTTGCATGCAAAATTTAGTTTTTTGTGTGTATAACGTAGTCCTGGATATACTAATATTGGATTTTTTTTCCTTTTTTCTTCATAACTTTTTTCAAAAACGCTTAAAACTCCTCTTTTTTTTGTATGATATGTTTTTGTATGCCTTGAGCAATGTCTGGTAATTTGAAACGAAAAACTAGAACTGAGGTATATTCGACAGTTACAGTAAAATAGGCAAATTGGAAAACAATTTTTGCAGAAAATTGACTAGAAAAAGCGTTTTCATTAAAAACACGTTCGAAACAACTTTTTAATTTTTTTTTGCAGTTTTTTGAATTTTGAAAAATTTTGATTCAAAAAAAGGCGCTAAAAAATAGAAAAAATTAATTTCCCCCGAGTAAAACTAAGTTTTTACGGCTTAATTTAAGCTATTGTAAGATTTTAAGCCATTAATTTGAAGCTATCAAAACAAAAACCAAAATTGCCATGAATTTTTTTATAAATTTTGTTTTCAAAAAACAACATCAATTATATCTTCCAGAACAAGGACTTAACACATTTTTTCAGCGTTTTTCTGTAGTCATAACAAAGTTGTTTTTCAGAGGGCGCTTATGGTGAATGTTTCGTTGATCTCTTTTTTCACGCTTGTTGCTACTTCGGTTACAGGTTTCAGTGTCAGGCGGAACAAGAGTTCCCGAAACTTCGCGTTCTGTCTCTTTTCTTTTTCCAAAATTTGTTCAGTATTAGCTTTTTGAGAAATAGCAGCTGCAGTTTTTTTTCTTCATTTTCGATTTATGTCCGTGTATGTGTTTTCTCCTTTTTCGCAAAACTTCACGGATAGTTTTGATTGTTTTCTGATTCCAACCGATGGTTCCAAGCGTGCGTCAATTTGTGGAACCACAAATCCCGCAGCTCCTCAAGAGTGAAAACTCGGTCTTTTTTTCCATTATTCCCGATTCCCACAGTCGAAGAGTCTATTTGATTTTGAAAATAGTTGTTGATGTCTTTTTTAGTCTTGCATGCAATTAGATCTGGATTCAGTTCAATGTTTTTTGAATCTGCCAATAAGGCGTTGATGGCGGTGCAGTCTTCGAGAACGGCTCTGGCTTTGTTTCCTTAGTCTTGTCGTGCCAATTGATTGACATCTGTGACTCGGAAGTTTCAGTTGCCTCCATTCTTGACATAGAAGTAACAAGTTCTTCGCCAGTATGATTTACCAAAAATGGATGATCCAGTTGGCGATTGAGATCGATTAGTTCCCCCAATGGCTCCGCCCTATTGACCAACCAGGGTATCGTCATTGCTTATTCTCTCTATAACGGGCTCACTTTGAGCCAATTTCGATTCAATGCGATACCTTTCATGATGTAATTCCGAGTGCTCTGAGAAGTTTATCAGTTGAATTCCGTGTTGGTTTGGTAACAATAAGTTTTTTGTGGAGCGCTGAAAACTGACAATTGGTTAGCCTGAAATGCTCGGGAATCAATCGGTAGGAACAGAGTTTGTAAGTTTTAGTCGTTTGCGTCTTCGTTGTAGCGCATTTGATTTTCAATTTGGGAATAAATCCAAGAATTGGTTGGGACCGAAAAGTTTAGATGGGCCTCGAGTGTCTTTAAAGCATTATATAGTCAGTTGTTTCTAAACCAAAGTCAGACCCTGGCAGAACTTCAGCTTGGTCTAGAATAAATTGATTTTCCATATCCTTGCATATTAGTCCTCGTGAAATTAATTGCTCAAAATATATAAAATAAAAAGCTGGAATCGGTAACCATCACGCAATTGTAAAAGGCGGAATAATACAAAAAATAAAAAAAGCTACAAAATCACAAATTCCGCGTTTGCTTATTTCTTGATTTACAACTTTACAAGGTGGCTATTGTTGGACCTTGTTAACTATTTCCCCCTATGCATGTACTATTTTTGACAACTACTTGGGTGGAATAGTTAACAAGATCTCTATTATTTACTAAGATATCATAAAGTGGTTAAGTTAAGTTGTTAAAGAGATCCCAATTACTTGCTGTAGTAACCGCTAACGTTTTGATTGCAGATATAGCTGAATCATTGTGCAATGAAGGTTTCTAATTGTCTCAGTTTTCAGAAAAAAATGGTGTTGATTGTCTGTTTGATCATTTAATCATATAAAAATGAGGATAGCTGGATATTGCGCAA